TAATATCGAGAATGCTAAGAAGGTCAGTTCATAATGAACTTACATATAATACAAATACATTATCTCACTTTCCCGCGCTCACAGGGAAAAAATAAAGCGCCAGTTGAAGATGAAGTATTTAATTCGGTTGCTGATAACTCGGAAATTTTCAAGGGTGTGTAATTCCCGAGATATTATGAGAAGCTTAAAAAATTATGGTTTGCTCATGAACCAGAATCACATTGCTTTGTAATTGATCTGGGAAATGAAGAAATGGAAAAGGAGATGAATAAACTTTTAGATGATGATGAACTAAAATCGATATCTAATAGATTGGATTTGGAGCACGAGAACGATCATATGAGTACGGAGGCATTTGAATATATGACTTTATTTGATAATATAATGGAAGATGGTCCTAGTGACGTAGTTGAAAGAAATTTTATCGAAACTCGAGATGTAACCATTTCCGAGATGAGGAAAGTGGTCTATAGCTTGGACGGATTACCGATTCGATTCAATTATCTATCTCAAACCCTTCCCATGTCAACAAATCGACACGACATATCGTTGCACACTGATATTCATATAATCAGAAACATTTCGAGTCATTTAAATGCAACTGTAACGATGGATCAGATTCCCAAGGGTGCAACCGAAGGTTTATGGACTCCACATGTATTAGCATATATTTTTCTCACAACGTTTAGTTATATTACTTCAGTAAAATATTTGTCATGGGAATACGTAATTTCTACGAAAACGAACCCTCGTGAGGCGGATGGAGTTGTGGAGTTATTTGAAAAGCCAAATCAAATTCCCTTGTTCATACTTGAAGTCTCTAATAAATCAAGCGATCCTGGTAGATTTAAAGAGGAAAGACGAACGCTGATGAAAGAGGGTATATTTGCGCTAAATAAATTTATTGCTAGAGCTGAATTTCCAACATGGAAAGTTTGTAAAACGCTGGGGGTTTTCCTTTCTCGTGGATTTGGTGAGTTATTTCAGACGTCTAGATATGATACATTTCTTTACTTTTTGTCATTGACGTATTATTATTATTACAGAGGATAAGCTTGAGATCGGTCAGATGATATATATCGGGCCTGGTTTATATTTGTATTCCCCTTTCACGACTCCAAATATTATCATCCCAACTTCTACTTTTAGTTTGTTACATACATCTAGATTAATTCGCACACTCCTTCGTTTGCGATACAACGTCATCAAAAAAATCAAGACTTTCCAGAAATTCAAAGATGAGAGTAGTGCTGCCGGATTAACAACAGGTCAAACTTCCGCTCATGAGAGAAAAATCTGATAGGGAGAACGGATATAGATAGATATTGAGGGCTATAGGGAGTGGAAGAGTAGTTGGGGTATTGATATTCAATAGGTTTAGCGTAAAGTATATCACTTTGAGTAATCTAATCGAAACTATCAATTCGTTTTCTTTTTTTTTTTTTATAAACACAAATTATATTTGCGCGATTGATGGATCAAATTCGATTCGAAATTTAATTTCCTATTTTCATATGCATGTAACACGTATTGAGTTCAATTCTCGAATATGGTCTTGAATAATAAATACGCTTGGGCTTCTATAGGCATTTATATATACGTAGTATTTTGACTATTCATTTGTTTGGTAAAAATAAATTCGGGATTTTTTTTTTCTCAAAAAACATGCATTCACACCTAAGAGAAATATTATTTTGCCAGAGGATATATAAAAATTTTTGTCCAAATCCTTGATTTAAACCATCGGAAAATGTTTGCTATGAAAGTGTGATGGTATACAACAATTTAGAGAAAGAGTACCATTGAATATACAAGTTTCTTGAAATAGTCGCAGACAAGATAATACAGTATACAGCAATGATCTATATTTGTATAAATTCGAGTCATACTCAATTTCGTGAGTTTTAAAGATCTTTGATAGTATTCAAAAATTTTTAAAATTTTTAAATTTCAAGAAAATTTAAGATTTTTAATCAACCATGAGTTTAAATGGTAAAAAATCGGGTGCTATCATCACAGTGACATTACAGAATCAATGTGATTATCTCGAAAATCATAATGCCCGCTGAAATTATAAATCTTAATTCTACCGGAATTACAAATCTAATGTTAGCCAAAATTACAAATCTAGTGTTAGCCGAGATTACAATTCATAATTTTACTGAAATTACAAATCTAATGTTAGCCGAGATTACAAGTCTTGATTTTAATGAAATTATTCTTTAATTAATATATTTAATAAAGTCTTATTGCTTTTAAAACAACTTTAAGAATACTTTAAAAGTTTACTTTTATTTTTTCTCTCATGGTTATAATTTTTTTTACATAAAAACTTTATTTTTTATAATTGATTTTTTTTTTTGTGGACTCAACCTCCAGTTGATCTTTATTTAGCTTTTACTCAGATATTACATTGTCTATCTATTTCAAAGATAACTAGAAATTGAAACTATACTAGCATGTATATTGGGATAACTAGAAAAGATGCCTTCTGATTTGGATCTACTAAGAACCTCTGTGACCTGTTGCCTTCTTTTCAGAAAACTAACTTGCCTAGGCTGAGTTAGCACTATTTTTCTTAGGTTTTCATAAGAAAAGAAATTTAAAGGTTTTGGTTTTCTTCCAGTCTAGACTAATTGTGTTTGCTAATTTCCCTAGGCAAGTATTTTGCATGTTCTGGCTCTATCTGCCCTTGTTCCTTTTTCCATCTTTATAATCCCATAAGAAATTTCTTATTCTCTCATTATCTTATATCTCTGTATTCAAATTTTTCTTTCAAGGTTCTGTGTTTCTTCAAAGTATCCTAGAAGGGTGGGCTTGGCTTTCTTTTTAAAAATCCTAGCCCAGTCATGGACTAGTCTTGTAATGTCTTTGCGGATTAGACTTCTAGCTATTATTATGATCTAGAAGTTGAGTTTCTTCCTTTTGATTTTAGTAACTCTTTTCTGGACCCAGAATTTACTTCATTTTTCTCTACTTTGGAGATAGGTTGATATTGATTCTAATATAGATATATCAAAATCTAGTTTATTTCCTTTGCATACATATATGTGTGTTTGGCTCTCTCTTACTATGTTACAATTGATGTACCTGTTGGACCTGTATAAGTTCTTTCTTCTAGCATTAAGCTTGGTTATAGTTAATAGTTTTTGTGCCCAGGACTTCAATTTGAAAACCCTTCATTAATAATTCTCTGTATTTATCAATCCCATGATTATCTTTCAGAACTATAAATAATCAACTGTTGCTTTCCAGTCGATTTTGTTGTTAAGTTGAGTGAGATCTTGATTCCTCTCTAGATAACAACACTCTATAATCTATTCATTCTTGTTGTGATTGCATACTGCTTTATTGCTATTAAGGTTGCTAATCATACCCTTGTATGCTAAATCCAATATGTTTTTATTGAGCAGTATTATATCTAAACATGTGTTTGCCATTTGAATCTTGCTTGCTTGACCTCAATGTCTACCTTAGTATGAGTCTGAATATCACTCCTTCTAATTTTTTCAACTTCAATTCTTATGTTCTTGAGTTTGACAAGATCTTTTGTGTATTCAATGAGTCTTGCAATCTTACTTTTGTTCCTAGAGATTTTAAGTAATGTAACTATCATTTGGTTGTCTGTGTGCAGAAATATTTCAGTTTCAGGTGGAAAGGAGATAAGTACAACTATGACTATATTCAATTCTGCCTTGTTGAACATTGTTTTGTATAAGATCTTGAAGGATACCCTTTCCATTCCCTCTCTTGATTCAAGATTCTCAATTTGGAAGGTGATAGTATAAAACTTTCTATAACAGCTCGTGTCTGTTATAACTCTGACTCTATATCATTCTTCCACATTCTGCTAAAGTTGGCTGATTCATGATTTGATTGCCTTGTTCTTGATTTGCTTGGTCTAACTCTTCGAGCTGATATGTTCAGGAACACAAATATCATTGAGTTCCCATATATTATATATCTTATGCTAGTTTAGCCTAGTTTTAATATTTGCAGTGATGCTAGGAGCTTGATTTCTTTGTCACTGCTAGGATTTGTTATGGCCTGTCTGCTCTTTCCTGGGACTGCTATTGTATCTCTATTTATAATTTCTATAATACAGATGTCATTGGTAGTCTTCTTATTTATATTATATCCAGTGTATGGTGTTATATATGAGTCATATAAGTTTTGAACATAATGTCTAGCTGTGAAGATGTTCATATTCTTTTTTTTTAATTTTCTAATAAGTAATTTATTCTCCCTTATGTCTCTTTTTGTGGTGATCCATACTAACTTGCATTTCTTTAAAGATCTACTTTTCAAACTTTCTGCCCAAACCATATTATGAAAAGGATTAACTCCTGGATGAAGGTTGGTCAGCCTTGTTACAAAGTTTGAGTTAATTGTTCTTGTAGTGATTTTGTTGATAACCTCTTTATAAAAGTATAGTTGTCTCCCCTGTGCATTTCAATAACTAATATAGTATATTTGGGCTCAGCTTAATGTCTTGATCTTGTTGTAATTAACAAACTATTCAATCCATCTGAGATTGCTGGCTTTGAATGTTTTCTGTATTTATTATATCATCTTTCTTCTATATACTCTTCAATAGATATAAGCATATTATTTGTCATTATGTTTCTTAGATGTTTGTCTCTAAAGAAAAAGTCTTGCTTCTGTGTATTGATAAGTACATCTTGTATGAAGTTCATGTCTGTTGGATGGATCTTAGAGCATTTCTCCAGAATGCTTGTCTCTGATCACGCTGCATTTTATAGGTTTGTTATCCTTCTCTACAAAGTCTGCCAATGTAGTTGGCTACCTTGTACAGTTTATCTATAATAGTTAGGTGTTTTTGTAGCATGCAATCTTTAATGCTAAACAGGTTGTAGCCTAGATCACTGTGAAAGGTTGAGTTCAGTCTGAGGTGGTAAAACCAGTTTTGTGTTTGATTATTCTTCTCAGTCTTCCATGGATGAGATCAGTTTTGGCCTCTGTTAGGTAAAGATCTTGAATCAGGTATTCCAGTTTCAGTAAAATTATATGGTTAACTAAGTACTGAGTTTACTTGTCTAAGACTTTTTTTCAAAGTAAGCAGTTCACTAGGTTTGATGTTATTTTATGGAGTAGGTTCACTTGGTATTTCTTTTTTCCATTATAATCAAACCAAACTCCCAGGTATCAAACTGCACTAATAGATATCTTAATAATGTCTTGCTCAAAGATTGTTTTGGACTCCTGTTTATTATTAATTACAGTCAGCTCTGACTTGCTTGGGTTCACTTTAACCAGTACAAAGTTATAGAAATAGCTAGCAGTGTTAGTAATAGCTTCCAATTGTTTGTGATTCCTGACAATCCATGCTATATCATCCATATATGCTATAACTGATGTATTAGTAATACTGTGGGTTGTTGTGAGCTGTGTTCTCTCATACATTATTATGAGACTTTTGTATTCAGGCATCTTACTAATTCTATAAACCAGGTCATAGTATATGCACTAAAGAAGTGGTGATACAACATCACTTTGATCGATCCTGTTTCTGACTGTATATGAGTTAGTATTTTCTACTCCAGTAATCACTGTGTTTCTTCTGTCTTTGAAGCCTTCATGATAACTGTATATGAGTCAGTATTTTCTACTCCAGTAATCACTGTGCTTCTTCTGTCTTTGAAGCCTTTATAATGATATTAATAAGAGTCTCTAAAAGTTTGATCCTTCTCATAGCCTTCTTTAAAGTGTTCAGATTTACATTGTTATATGTTTTACTCATATTCTGGAAGAGGATTAGAGTTCATTGTTGTTTTCTTTAGCATTTTTAATAATTGTATTTATTTCAAAGATAGGCTAAGTTGTGCTGGTTCCTGGTAAAGCTACTCAGTTGTGTTCTGATAAAATTTTGTGCCTTGTTATTATACTCAACAGCTTGTTGACCAGTCCTTTAATAAATATCTTTTTGCTTGATTCTAGTAGGGTAATAGGCCTGACTTTGTTGAGGTCATTGCCCCAGTAGTACTTTTTGAGATTAGATATATTAATCCTTCTTTTCACTTGAAAGGCATCTT